AATTTTAGAATTTTCTATATAAATTTTAGGTCGTTCTATCTATGTCTACAAAAAATTCATAGTAAGATTTTGATTAAGCAGCCTTAGACCTATAGATCAATTTGGGGAGAACTGACGTCTTTCCTATGTCGGGTCTTCCCATCCATGAACATAGTATTTTTTTTCCCATTTATTTAGATCTTTGATTTCTATCATCAGCATTTTGTAATTTTTAGCATGCAAATTCTGTATGTATTTTGTTAGATTTATACCTTAATATTTTATGTTTCTGGAGCTATTATAAGTGGTATTGATTTTTAACTTCAGTTTCCAGCTGTTGATTTTTGGCTGTCGGCCTTGCATCCTGTAGCCTTGCTGAACTCACTTGTAAGAGCTGCAAGAGTTTTTTGCTCTCTGCAAATAGGAACAATTTTATTTTTCCCTTTCCAATCTGGATGACTTTCATTCATTTTTCTTGTCTTTTTGCACTATCTAGGACTTGTAGTACAGTGTTGAACAGGAGTGGCAAGAGTGGACATCTGTGCTTTGTTCCCAATCTTAAGGGAAAATCTTCAGTCTTTCACTGCTAAGTGTGATGTTGACTGTAGGTTTCCTTAGATGCCCTTTTTCAGGTTGAGGAAATTCCCCTCTATCCCTCGTTTTCTTCAAGTCTTTATCATAAATGAATATTAATTTTTATCAAATGCTTTTTCTTCATTGATATGATCATGAGATTTTTTTCTTCTGTAGACTGTTACTATGATGGATTACATTGGTTGATTGTCAGTTAGAAAATAATTTTGTCTTTTGGTGTGGGGCTAATAATCTCCTGAAATAGAAGATGATGATCTTGCCTCATCCCTGTCCTTTTGGTCCTGATGTGCTTTGGGGTCACCTGACATCAGAGAGATTCCCGCCCCCCACCGGGTCTTGCTGTCCTCTATGTCCAGAGTGCTCCGCAGGACCCAGTTCTGTGGGCAGGATGGGGAGAAGTCACTTGCTCTCCAGAGGCCGTAACGCATGGGGCAGTGCCTGGTGTACCAGCTTGCACCTCGCCTCACTCAGTCCCTGCAACCCACCAGGGCCTGGGCACCCACAGGCAACCACACATGTCCTTCCTTGGACGACTGGCCGAATGGACATGAGTTTCAAGCTGGTATCGATGAGAAAGCATTCCTCACAGACTACATTAACTGTCACAAACACGACAGGTTCAATGTTAGCAAATTGCATCAGTGCATAATAACAGCAGTACTAGGATCACAGGTCACAGACCTCCTGAGAAACCACAGCGTTCTCTATGGTCCACACTATCCTGTTGCAAAGAAAGGTGCAGCCCAGACCCCGGGCAACCCGGCTACTGTGGTTTGTCATCTGAGTTGCTTCAGAAGAATCGTATTTTCAGATCCATTGGGAATCCATGAATGGGCTGTGTTTACAGCCCTCTCTGTGCAAGCCCGGGAGTGATCATCTCAGAAGGCGGTCTGATTCCCGACCCTGCCCGCGCTGTGGTCTGTCGACTTGCTTTGGCATGAGAACATCTCCACACATGCAGCAGAGATCTGTGGGGTTTTCCAGGAGCCGAGAACAAGAACAGCCTTGAGACTGCCCCAGAACTAAAACAGGGCTCCAGCATCCGACACTTGAGGCCTCCAGCTTTTCCTGTCAAGAGTTTTGGGACTTTAAGTCGGTTCTGAAAGCAGAGCGTGAAGACCAGAGGGAATCACCCGTACAGCCTCAGTGAGAGGTTTCAGACTTCTGGGGGCAGATTTTCTTGAGTCTTTATTTCATCAGTATTACATAAATCTTAAAGCTGAATGGCCCACATGAGGAGTTTTGGATAAAACCTTTTGCTGTGGCGCTTTTATTAACCACACAGAGCACAGGCTCTAAACCCAGAGGCTTGCTCTTGCGGTTTGGGTCATGTCGAGGGGAGGCTGGGGGCTCTCGGGCTGCACCAGGTAGAGACCCTGCCACCCCGGGCTGCAGGAGGCCATGCCGTGCAGACAGGGGGCCCCCACGGGCCACACAGCGGGGACTGAGGAAGACAAATGTTCTAACCAGTTCTTACAATAATAAAAATACAGCATTCCTGCCCATGGGGAGACATGCCATTGCAGTGGTTCATCAGGGCCTCAAGGTCTAGCCCAAGTGAAGGATAAGCTGACCCAGGGGTCAAGTCCCCCCTCTGAGTGGCGTCTTTGTGAACTCTTTGTTTCCAGGAAATCGGAGTCCTAGCTCATCGGTAGTGGTGGTCCTGGCTACGCAGATCACGACATCGGGACGGTGTCTGCCCTGGCGACTCCGCTTGGGATCGCCATGCACCATCAGCACATGCTGCGCTGAAGCCACAGGGGTGAGGAGTGAAGTCACCTCTGAGAACAGCGGCGAGGGGGTTCTGAGCTTTCTCGGGCTGCATTCCGCTACCTAAAGAGCTTGCATCAGCTTCGTGGCACCTGAATGTGACTTTCAAATATGCCTAGGACTGCACCACTGATTTCTTCCTCCGCCAGATAAAGAAAAACCCTCATGCGTTGGGTTTGAGAAGCCAGAGTGTCAGCAGCCCAGCCCCTTGGGACACTGAGTCTTCTTCGAAAATCCCGAGATCTGGTTCCCAATATTAAAAGTCATAATATAGGGCTCTGGACTGATGGATTCAAGTTCTACAACATATAACCCGGAAATATGTGACTTGAAATCACAGGAATTTCTTTACTGGTGTCATCAGAAACTCAGCTCCTGCTTTCAACACGTGGGTTGCCCCTGACCACCAGCACACATGGGTTCAGAAAAGCCAAATCTTGTATTCACTATCCAGCTCATCAGCACCGAGTCAAGCCGGGGAGACTGTGAACGGACCGTCTGTGGCTCCCTGTGTGTGGCCTGGCTTCCCACACGTGCCCTTCCAATCTCACGGCCACCCTTCCAGGTGGCCCAGGGCGGCGTGCCACCCACACAGGTCAGAGTTCACGATGGATCATTAACCGCAAAACATGTCTTCTCTGTAGCCTGTATTTCCAGCGAAGATGCAGAACATCTCGACTGTACTATGACCTCACGCATGTGCCAAGCATTTGCTAGAAGCTTCCTCATCCTCTGCACATGAGAGCTTTTGTCCAACTGTCAGAGCAAAAACTTTGCAAGCATACGCACATTGTTTGAGAAAGGAATTTTGCCAATAGCGCATCTGCTTTTTTCTCTGACTCAAGCATTTATCATCACTTTTTTCTTTAACTGAATAGACCCCCCTTTTTTTTTTAAGCGCCACTTTAGGTTCACAGAAAAATCGAGCGGGAAGTCAGAGAATCCCCGTAGCCCCCCAACACCCCCACACTCACACGGTTCCCCTCATTAGCCTTTCACGGAAGTTTGGTATGTTTGTCACCGTCAATGAGCCAATCTGGACACACGGTTACTATTAACTAAAGCTCCTGGTCGACATTAGGGTTCGCGCTTGGTGCTATGCGTTCTCTGGGTTTTGACAGACATTCAGTGATATCATCACTTCGGAAGCTGGTTTTGCACGTTTCTTTGTGAAGGTGGGAGCAGTACCTGGGTTTACTCGGGAGCACTGCTCTGAAAGAGAGATCTGAGGTTTTCAACTCTCTTCCGCCTCCAGTGACAAAGCTAAAGAAGGAGAATGTCATCCTGGAAAGAAAGCACTCTTTGGCGCTTATTCGGAGAAGTCGCAAATAATTTACCAGGGAAGTCGTTCCTGTTCGGGGTAATACAGACCCGCTTAGAATGTCAAGGGCGACTGTGGACAAATGGGCCGTTCGTTGATCTGATAAAATCCTCTTCCACTCTTCGCCCATTTCTCATTTTCTGGTATTTTCTCTCATTGCTGGGTATGCAAAATGACCGCAGTGTGTGTCTCTGGACTGGATCCCGGTCCTGAAAAAGGACACCAGTGCAGTGGTCATCACATTCAAATGAGATCTTTCATTGACTCATCGTGGTGAATGGGGGTTGATTTCTGGGTCTTGATCCTTGTGCTGAGATCATGCGAGATGCTAACATCTGGGAGGGCTGGCTTAGGGTATACAGTTCTTGGTGCTATTTTTGCAACGTTTTTGTAAGTCTGGAATTATTCCAAATGAAAAGTTCACATTTTTTTTAATTGAGTAGACCTCTATTGTTTAAAGCTCTAGGAATTACGAGAACTGAGCACGTCAGCTGCTAAAAATGATTACCAGTAGCACTTAGGACGCTCACAATATCGTGCAGCCAGCCCATCTATACCCATGTCATTTTTAAAAATCGGTTTAACAATAAGGTCTAATACATCTGTAATGTGTAATTCTTGGTAGAATTATGGGGCAGCGGGGAGCAGCAAACTACAGCCCCGCAGCCAAATCCAGCCAGCTGCCTGGCTTTGTAAATAAAGTTTTATTGGCACACGGCCACACCCATTCCTTCACTTGTCTGTGGCTGCTTTCCAACTATAAGGACAGAGTTGAGTAGTCATGGACAGAGACTGGCCCACAGAGCCCAGAATATTTACTGTCTGGCCCTTTACAAAAAAAGTTTGCCAACCCTTGAGCTATAAGAACTGGCTCAGAAAGATAATCACAGAAGATTAAGTGATAAACACAAGTATCAGAACTGAATACGTAGCACAACCCCAACTGCAGAGAAAATCATGGAAGCCAATGTAAATCTGATAAAATGCACCTGAGAGGACCCACACCAGGCTACTGGTAAAGGCTTCTCCTCCTATGTGGGAGTTGGGTGGGGCTGGGGAGAAGTTGAGGCAGGGCTTGAATGGGGTGTGCCAGTCCAGGTGCCCAGGGCACAAAATTTAAGGAGCTTGCCCTGACACGATCTTGAGGATGAGCACCTCCTTAAGTCTGGAGCTCTGGGTGCCTCATTGGCCCCACCGCAGTCCTGGCCTTCAGTGGAGACTGTTCTCTGTTGTAATCAGATTTTCCTACAGCAAGCATGTAAAATATTACTTACATATTCTTAAAATGTTTAATTAGCAAAAGAAAAGTGGGCAAACAGATTTACAATGCCCTGTTTTCTCAAGCCAGCCTCCCCCTGTCCCCAGGGGTGAGCCCCAAGATTCTCTCCATCTTCCCACCTGGCCCTTCACTGCGGGCCGTTTCCTTTCTGCATGCAGAATTCTGTGATTTATATCCCTGCCCTCAAAGTTCCAGCAGTGTCTCTTTCTTTCTTTTTAAACTACTCTCCATGTTTTTTTTTTTTTTTAAAGATTTTATTTATTCATTTGAGACACAGAGATACAGAGAGAGAGAGAGAGAGCATGAGCAGGGAGAGAGGCAGAGGAAGAGGGAGAAGCAGACTCCCTGCTGAGCAGGGAGCCCGATGCGGGGCTCGATCCCAGGACGCTGGGACCATGACCTGAGCTGAAGGCAGACGCTTAACCATCTGAGCCACCCAGGCGCCCCTACTCTCCATGTTCTTTAAAGATCCAAAAGGGTTGCTCATAAAGCATTTATACTTGTATTTTCTCTATGGTCACATAACTAAGCTAGATCTGAGGATGCAGGGTTAACCCTAGCATCTTTCTGTCCTTGTCCCCACTCCTCCCTGGCCTTTGCAGGGACATCCCTTCCTTTCCCACTGCTAGCTCCTGGAGGCATGGTCCCGATGTCAGATTGCGGCAGACCCAGTCTGGAGATGCCGCCGTTGCTTCAACAGTGGTCATTGCTGGCCCTTGGCAGGGGTGACCCCTATCTGGTGGGCCCTTTTAATGAGATTACTATGTTATAAATGGAATGGCCACTTGGGCATACACTCGTGAACTCAGAGAACTAACCTCCACCCTCCATTAGGAGGCCCCAGTACAGTCCTTACATCTTGGTGGATCTTGCTAGATTATACATGAAAGGAGAGGAACTTTCTAAATAGTTGGCTTATTTTAATATACTTGGGAGCTACTAAAACTTGTCTGCTAGCTGCTATTACATTAGGTTCTTGAGACACTATATCTTTGATCGCGAGTCCTTACATATTTTCTGCCCTCCTTCTGAACAAGCCCTTAAAGCACGATATGTGTCCGTTCCCCCCCCATATTCTGTTAATAATTCATGTAGCAGAAACAGATGATATTAAGTGACAAGGAACACTGCTGCAGGGCATCGAATCAAAAATAAAAATTAAGCTCTTGATAAGTCAAGAAACGGATGCATAAGCATATGCACAATACCAAGATGGAAGGAAACTGCGGAAGTTCAGAAACCGGAAATGATTTTTGCGAAAGCTGCCTGGGCCTGGGGTGGGGGGGGGCACCACTACGTCCATCCTTGGCTCCTCCTTACTGTTTGATATGTGGGCCTGTGGAGATAGCACCCTGATAAGTATCTTTAAATAGCAAAAAGTTAAACTCCGGTCAAATATAAAATCAGTTTTTATTTTAAACATATTTAAACACTAACTTCTCCAGCCACTGAGGGGACTGAACAAAGCGTTTGTACTTGTGCAGTGAGAGTCGCTCTGGCAAGTGTGTAAGGAAGATTAGGACTTGAAGTCAAGTGCAAGATGCTCCTTGTCCACGGATGCAGGGCTGGGAGGTGGCGCCATGGCGCCCTCTGCTGGACAGACGTGCGCACTGCGCCGTCAGCGCTGACTCCGGGGCGGTAACATCCCCATTTGGCCTTGGGCGACGTGAGGGGATGGTTTCCTGACCTTCACCGCCTACTGATGTTTACGCGAAGATTTAATTTTAAAACAGTGAACAACTTGGGAGGTTCCACTGTGCATTAAATTAATTTTCTGCATCCATGGGCTTGATCGGACCCTATTTAATAGCTATGGGTTCTTCAGGATGATCTTATGCAGCAAGCCTTAATTTGTGTTCTTTTCCACAATACTCTACAGTAGTTTTTAGCAGGCAGTCCTAAATATGTCTGGCACTCCTCTGGGTGTCCCCAAGACCCTCCCAGGGGCCCCACAGGGTCAAAACTGTTTTCATAATAATACCAAGCCATCAGCCGCCACTTTCCCTGTGCTGACATTTGCACTGACTGCAAAATCAACATCGATGAGCCCCCAGGGCACAAATGCAGGTGCAGAGCGAGGCAGAGGCGTCAGACTCTCCCAGACGTCGCGGTGGTCTTCCCCACCCTGCGCTCACAGTGAAAAAGAAAAGAGAAGCTGAGGATGGGGTACTGCAATTTCCAGTTAAGGTTAACCTATGGTCCTTGGTGGAGCTGTTAATTGCTATTAATTGTATTAAATCTCAGTCCTGGAATTCACATCTTTCCAATATTCTGTGTGACAAAAGGCACTTCTCCTGCCAATGTATGATGACTGTCCTAAGGAAAAGCCGCCGGCAAATGACTGTGAGCTGAACCAGCCATTTTTGTCACGAAACGCTGTTTGCTTGAAGGAGTAACAGACAAATGATGATTATTCAGACTTGGGGAATTGGCAGACATTTTCTCAAAAATGAATGGTGCGAGGTGGATGTATCCAGGAAAACAGCCAACTAATTTGGTTGCCAATACATTTTCAACCAAAAAAGAATTAGAATTTTGAGCTTGGTAGTGATACTAACAAATGTGATTTTTCAGTACTATATAATGAAAGCATGTCAACATTTGGAACATCTGCAAAATCAGTGAACCAATATTTTCCAAGTGACTGGTGCAGGAGGTTACAAAACCATGCATGTGGGGAGAAGATCCATTCAAATCGCAAGGGAGAATAATGGGTTTTTTAATTAGTTGTGTATTTTTTATCAAGGTCAAATTCACATAACATAAAATGCATCATTTTAACCACTTAAAAGTATATGATTCAGCGGCATTCGGTACATTCTCAGTGTTGTACAACCATTACCTTCTTTAGTTCCAGAACATTCTCATCACCCTGTAAACTGGTAACCCTGACCAGTTAGCAGTCACCCCTCCCGCCAGTCCCTCCTCCTTCAGCCTCTGGTAACTACTCTGCTTCCTGTCTCCACGGATTTTCCTGTCCTGGACATTTCATATAAACGGCACCATACACTCTGTGGTCTTTTGTGCTTGCCTTCTGTCACTGAGCATCATGCTCTTGAGGCTCATCCACATTGTAACATGTATCACTACTTCCTTCCTTTTGGTGGATGAATAATATTCCATTGTGTAGATACACCGCATTGTGTTCATCCAGTCATCCGTGACTGACACTTGGATTTTTCCGCGTTTTTGCCATGGTGAATCACGCTGCTATGAACATTCACGTACACGTTTTTCTGAATACACCCAGGAGCGGAATTGCTCGGACGTAATAGTTTAACTGAGTTTATGTGTAACTTTTGGAGGAACTGCCGGCCTGTTTTCCACAGCAGCTGCACCATTTTATATTCCGCCAGCCGTGTGTGAGGGTTCAAGTGTCTCCGCATCCTCGCCTACACTGGTGGGTTTTTTTTTTCTTTCCTTTCTTTCTTTTTTAATAGCCGTACTAGTGTGTGTGAAGTGGTATCTCCCTGTGCTTTTCGTTTGTATTTCCCTAATGACTAATGATGCCAAGCATCTTATCATGTGCTTCTTGCAGACACGTCTGTTCAAGTCCTTTGCCCATTTTTCAATTGGGTCGTTGGTCATTTGGCTGTTGAGTTGTGACAGGTCTTTATATATTCTGGATACAAGACCCTTATCAGATACACAGTTTGCAAATATGTTCTCCCATTCTGTGGCTTGTCTTTTCACTCTCCTGATAGTGTCCTTTGCCGTACAAAAGTTTTTAGTTCAGGTGAAGTCCGATGTATCTTTGTAAAGATTTCTTTTATCTTTTATTTGTGCTTTTGGTGTCATATCTAAAAATCCATTGCCAAATCCAAGGTCATGAAGATAACCTTATTGTACATGACTACCTTATGTTTTCTTCCAATCATTTTATAGTTGTAGCTCTTACATTTAGTTCTTTGATTCATTTTGAGTTGATTTTTGTATATATTGTGAAGTAGGGGTCCAACTCCGTTCGTTTGCATGTGGAAACCCATTTATCCCAGCACCATTTGGTGGAAAGTTTACTCTTTCTCCATTCAGTGGTCTTGACGCCCCTGTCAAAAATCAGTTGACCATAGACATACGGGATTATTCCTGGATGTTTAATTCCATTCCATTGACCTGTGTACATCTATGTCTATCCTTATCCCAGTACTGCACTGTTTTGGTTACTGTAACTTTGTAGTAAGTTTTGAAATCAGGAAATGTGAGCCTTCCAGATTTGTTCTTTTTCAAGGTTGTTTTGGCCTAATACCATATGAATTTTAAGATCAACTTGTCCGTTTCTGAAAAAGCAGTTGGAAGTTTAATAGAGAATTTGGCTAAGGATTGCACTGATCAACTTGGAGAGTATTGCCATCTAAATATTAAGTCTTCTGATCCATGAACATAGAATATCTTCTGTTTATGTAGGTCTTATTTAATTTCAGTCAGCAACGTTATAGTTTTTAATGTAAGTATTTTACCTCGTTGGCTAAATTTGTTCCTAGGTATTTTATTTTCTTTGATGCTGTCGTAAATGGGATTGTTTTATTTCATTTTCCTATTGTTCATTGCTGAGAAATATAACTGATTTTTGTATGTTCATCTTGTATCCTGCAACTCTACCGGGTTTGTTTATGAGCATTCATTATTTTTTTGTGGCTCCTTCAGGATTTTCTATGTCTAAGATCATGTTATCTACAAATAGAGATAGTTTTACTTCTTCTTTTCCAATATGGATGTCTTTTATTTCTCACTCTTGCCTGACTGCCCTGGCTAGAACTTCCAGCACAGTGTTGAGTAAAAGTGGTGACAGTGGACACCCACAAAGCAGTCGGAAGAGGTGATGGGCAAAGCAGAACCCTCTCATTCCTGCACTCGGGCCCAGGAGCCCCGTCCAGCCATTCTTTCCAAAATATGTGTTCCACCTGCTTTTTGCACACACATTGCTGAAGTCTGCCTTCCCTGCGTGTTTGAGGAAGGTCAGGGTGTGCATTGGTTATTTCCTTCCATTGCTGTTCTCTGCCTGTCGTGGTGGGCTCCAGCAGATTTCCCATTTCCATTTAATATGCACAAGTGGGCGTCAAATTCGGCACGTACGAATGTGGCAGGAGCCACACACAGCCGGGTGTTTGCTCCGGTGCGTCGGCCTGCTGGACCACCTTAGCTCCCTCCCTCCATGAGGTCCTCGGAACCCAGTTCAGAAGCCCCTTCCCCCAGGAAGGCGTCCCTCTTAGCTCCCTGTGACTTTGCCCAGCTCACGCTTCATAAACACTCAGGAGTGTATCTCTTTGACATGTCCAGTGGCCCCAGGGTTCGACGCCGCCCTATGGCAGGGCCAGGGTATTGGCCTGGTTCTCCCTAGCAACTGATAACGGGTCCAGGGGAGCAGCGGGGTGATTATTCTGCTGGCTTTGCTTCTACCTGAACTTGCGCCTCGGCTCAGTAGTCATGCTATGCAGACGTGAAATGCCACAGCGGGTGTTTGCAGATGCTCCTTTGTGCTGTTGGCGCTCCCGCGCTCACCCGCATGTCAGGAGTCATGCTCCCCTCCCAGGCCACAGCTTTTACTCGCCGCCTAACCGCACCACCCGCCCCCCCAACCTGCGTCAAGCCTTGTTTTTATTTTGTAGGCGCTTGAATCATTATTTGGATATTAATAAAAACAAATCTTGGCTGATGCTAACCATCTGATTTCCTTTTTTTTTTTTCCGTTTTGTTTTGTTTCTGCACACATTTTCTTTAGCTTGAAATGGCGATTGAAAACCTCCAAAAAAGCGAAGGGATCACTTCACACAAAAGCGGTTTACTCAACAGCCATGTAAGTGTGTGTCGACCCGGCGGCCTGCCCTGCCGCACTCGTAACCTTCGTAGGCATCTTAAAAACAAGCGAAGACCATGAAATGACGCCTCTCGGGTGCTGAAAGGTGGCGGGGGGCGGGGGGAGCCAACCTAGGATGCTACATCCAGCAAAAAAAAGAACAACCTTTCAGCAGCGTGAGGGAAAGGGTCCTGCATCCGTGCAGGTGGCTGGTAACAGCATGTACCCTCCCGGTGCTCGCGGAGGGAAGAGCGAGACGCGTGCTCCCTGCAGGGCCCGGGAAGGCAACGGGCATCACTGAGATAGGCAGCAACCACAACAGAAAAGGCAGGACTGGGGGCACCTTAATGACTCTCAGCTGCCTTTCGTGTCTGTGGTCAGCTCTTTGGGGGAAAAAAATAATAATAGGAGAAAAGTGCAAAGCAACATACTTCTACTGATTTTAACTGTATAGGATCTTTCTCCTTCGCTCTCCTCCTGGGGAGACCTTGACGGTAGCTTCCGTGCCAGGAGGCAGCAAACGTCCCTGTCTCTGGGCAGCTTCGTGGGGCAGGATGGGACTAGAGGAGGTGACCAGCTAAGAGTCTTTATTTCCTAACTAGGGCCCTGTCAAGACTTTGGTACTGGCCGACGTGCCAAGTGAGGTGTTGGCTCAAAGGGCAGTGATGTTGGGGCAGAAACCCAGCTAGGGAAGGTCCAGAAACTTCTAGGTTTCTGGATTGGCACAGGTGTCCTGGGCTGCTCCAGGTACACGTAATGAGGGCCGTGCACTCCTGGGCCTCAGAGGCCCAGTCACTGGAAGGGAGAGCAGTCTCACACCCATCATCTCAAAGCAATAAATATATGAATAAATAAGAGAGCATCAGGCCCCTGCTGAGTGCCCCCCCCCCCCGGCCCTCAGACTAGGTGGCTCATGGCCTCCCTGTCTCCAGTTACTGCTAGACAGTGTCAGCCCCGTGGCCGATCTGGGGAGGGAACAATCGGCAGTGTGTGCTTGCTCAGTCTTAAACTCAGGCCACTGTGCGGGCACGTCTGCACAGTGGCCCGCTCTGTTCAGCAGGGCCCTGAAGCAAACACGCATGGCCTCAACACGGCCCGCAAGCCCTGGCCCCGGGTCAGCCCCGAGGAAGGCAGAGTGTGGGGCACAAACCCCAGGCAGGCAGGGCTCCGCAGGAAACTTAAAATGTCTGTGGGGAAACGCATGAGCCGCTTGTCTCTGGCTGCAGGGGTGCTTCTGGTTTCTAACACGTTTCCTTTGGAAGGAGACACCTTTGACTGCTTCCCTGCTGGTTCCGTTTGCGAGCGGGAAACACTCCCTGCGCCCGTTTCTCCCTGGCTGTGTGTCGTGTGTCGTGGAGCTGTGAGCAGCAGGGTCTGGGCTTGGTGGCTCAGAATCAGAGAAGAGAAATTATCTTTCTGAAGAGTCGACCCCACGCACAGGTGAAAGCCTCCTGGAGCTTGTCCAGCCGATGTGAGAGCCAGGAGGGGAGGGAGAGCATGGGTCCTGGCCCCTAGGTGGGGCCCTGTGTCCCTGCAGCGGCCGGCCATGCTCGCTCATGATGCTTGTCACCCTGGCCGCCCACAGCTGAGTGGGCTCCGGTGCCGAGAGACACTGGCCGAGTCCCGGCTCCTTTGCCAGCCCGGCCCTAGGGCAGACAAGCCGGACTGGGGGCTGTGCCCCACGGACCCATTTTCCTGGTGGCCTCCCAGCCGACCCTTCTCCGAGAGCCAGGGTCGCGGCGTCCCACCCACACCAGAGCTGTGCTGAACACAGGGGCAGAAGGAACAAGGAGAGCTCCCGCCCAGGAGCTGGGAATGCGCAGGCGGTAGCCCAGCGGCTGTGAGAAGGCGCACCCAGGTCACACCGAAGTGGGCACAGAAGCCAGCCGTGCAGGTTTTCCGCTGGAGCTGGTTCTCGTGCTCTGCGGAGTTTGCTTCCCGACGACAGTGATGGCGACGGGCTACCATGGGGTGGTGTCCAGGGCTAGCAAGATGCCCTGAGCCTGGGAGGCGAGACAGTGCCTTCCAGACCCAGCCGGTGTCGGGGTCTCCGGGAATTTCCCCAGCTGCCCTCGAGGGGCTGAGTGAGACCCAGGGGGTCTGCAGGTGGAAGGAACCTTCCAGCCTGGGGCCGAAACAGGCTGGAGCAGTCTCGAAGACGGGGATGGGCAGATTTGGTGGTGTGAAAACCAGGGATAGCTGCTTGCAGGGAAGGAGGCGAAGCGCTTGCCCTAGGCAGGAAAACGCCTTCCCCCACCGCAGATGCAACCACCGTGGTGCCTGGTCTGGGGGGACTTCAGTCAAGGTCCCCCGCCTTGAGCAGGAGAGGGGCCTGGGCTCCTCCCAGGGCTACCCCTCAGCCGTCCCCCAGATCCCTGCACAGAACAACACCCCCCCCATGCAGGGACCCCCCCCCCACCAGTGGTTCACGGTCACTGTCACATGGGGACAGCGTGGTCTATGTAATAAACAAACTCTGGGAGGAGGACCTGCTTGTAGATTAATTGTATTTAGATTCTATGACTTTTTTTTTTTAATTGAGGACCACAAATTGCCAAAGATCACGTGGTCTTCAGTTGGTGGCAGACTGCAGGCCCGTGTGATGACAAAGCATGCCGTGCAGACCAGGGTTGGGGCTTGGCTAGAATCGGCAGTTTCCTGGGATGGGTCCCTTGTCCAGAAGTTGCTCCAAATTATCGTGGCAAATGCCTCCAGCAGTTGTCATGGTCAGACTGCTGGTTTCTTTCCCAAAGCCTCCTCACCGCCTTGCTGACCCCACCCTGACTCCCAGTGGAAAGGCTGTTTCCCAGGCGGCCCCACCAGGTGGCCTCTCCCACCTGCTGGCTTGGAGCTGCAGCTCAACACGGCATGTCCAAAGCCGAGCCCCGACTGCCCCTCTAGCCCCTGAGCCTCCCATCCTCTGCTGCTCACCCTCGCTTCCCAGACCCCACCGCCAGATGCTCTTGACCTCATCTTCAGAACCATCCCGAAGCAGACCACTTCCCCTTCCTCCACCACCACAGCCCCCACCATCTCTCCCGTGGAGTGTCGTGGCCACCACCTAGTGAGCCCTTGGCAGCTGCCCTCCCCCAGCTTCCAGGCCCTTCTCACAGCAGCGGCCACAGTGATTCTCCTGAAACCAAAGTCAGATCATGGCACCTCTCTGTCCAGAAGCCTCCCGGTCCCCCATCACACTCCAAGTAGAAGCCAGCATCATCAAAACAGCCTCCGGGGCCCTGCCCGACCGGCCCTGTCCCCTCCTTCCCCTCCCCTTCCCCTTCTCTCTGGTCCAGCCACACAGGTCCCCCCTCACTGTTCCTCCCAACACGCTAGGCCCGGTGCTACCCCAGGGCCTTTGCACGGGCTGTTCCCTCTGCCTCGAATGCTTCCCCATGGCTCCCTCCCTCAGCTCCGTCATGACTTGACTCATTGGTCACTTGAATCAGCTTCCCCTCTGTTGCAAAAGGGGGAGAAAGTGTAACTGATTGTTCTGGGGGCTGTGAGAGGTGTCAGCTGTCTCTGGAGTTACTTCTGCTTGGGAAGAACTTGTCGAGATAACCATGCATCATTGTTGTCAATGCCAACATAATTATCCAAGTAAAGAGATCCATTTTTCATTTCAACCACACGGGGCTGGGGGATGGTGGTAAGCCGAAGCGATCATTCTTCCTGAGCACTTCCTCATACATGTGAGCCGGTCCTGTCGAGGGCCCCCTCCAGCCCACCACCTATGGAACCTGACCTCACCCTTCCCGCCTGAAAGTCCGTGTTCCTCTCCTGCTCCCTGAGGATTCCCTAAGAAGCGGCGCTCTGTGCTCCCGGGGCCGGGGGGCGGGGGAGAGGGCAGAGAGAGAAAATCTCCAGCTTCTGCACCCTGACCGTTGGCTTCCCGCATGCTGGGGGCCCCTCTGCATTTCAGGACCCCTTCTCTTGGTCCGTTGCACCTCCTGGGGGTGCAAATGTGGGCAGATCTGGTTCCATCTCTACCTGCCTGGGGTTCTCATTCCAGTGGGGGAGACGAGCAATAAATAGATAAAATGCACCTGCTAGCTTCAGAGGAGGAAAGTTCTCTGAAGAAAACCCCGGGGCTCAAAGGACCCCCTCAAATACCAGCCCTTCCTCACCTGGATCCCAAACTGAAAATAAGAGAGGGTGGCAGCCGGGGAACCCAGTTACCCCTGCCCCTGTGCCTTGTCGCTGGGGGGGGGGCAGCTTCCTGACGCTGATGGGGCTGTGCTCACCCCCTGCCCCTTCCAGATGCCCCAGGCCTACCGTCCCGCAGCCTCCCCGAGCCCAGGCGGGCAGGGGTGCTCAGGGAGGGGAGGAAGGTGCACCCCGAGGGTCAGAGGGCATTGCCACGCTGCCGTCACAGCTTCCGGCAGCAAGGGGAGAGAGGTCAGGGGCCAGGGAGGACCAAGGAGGCGGCTCCTGGGCCAGAGCAAAACTCTGGAGAGAACAAGGTGGTAGAAAAAGCACATTTAAGGAGAGTTGGAAAACTAAGTATCGAGTGAGGCGACAGGAAGTTCTTTTCGCAGAGGGGCGGCTGAGGGGGGTCAGGTGTCCTTCCTGGGTGCCGTCCTGTTCCCCGGGGCCTCTGCCGGGGGCTGCGTCCACCCTCCTCCCCCATTGCTCTATGCTGTCTTAACTGCCCCTCAGTGGCCCCGCTGCTGAGGCCGGGAGGAGGCCACCTGGGGTTCTCCAACACTGGGACACTGGGCGGGTGAGGGGCCAGCTGTCAGCCACGCAGGCCCTCAGCTTGGGGCGAGAGGGCACAGGGCCACGCGGGCCACACGGGGAGCAGGCCGGCTTCGTAGTGACCATGGTGCCAGGGCCCAGGGAGAAGCAGGAGCTGCGCCCGGTCCCTCCCTGAGGAGGCTCCTGCAGCTCAGAGACTTCTCTGCAGAAGCCTGTGGGGAGGGAGCCTCTCCTGGTTCCCTGGGCGGCAGGGCAGCAAAATATACTGGGCCTGAGTGCTAGGCCTTCCGGCCACTCTTCCTCCTCCTCCTCGGGCCCTACGTGAGTGAACACCCTCTCTGTGCGTGCCCCTGGAGACCCCGTCCTCAGCCTTGGTGCCCCGTTAACGCGCCTGCGCCCAACCTCTGCCCTGAAGCCGGCCCAGCAGTCAGCCGACCTCTCCAAAGCAGAGCCCACGACACCAGCCCTTCCTGACGCCCGATGTCTGTCCTTCTGTTACAGGACTCTCTGCTCTGTCAGTCCCCCACGTGTCCCTTCACTTGGACCTTTGGCCTGGGGCCCACCTTCATCCCGCACATGCAGCCGTGCCCACCTCGACCTCTGAACCTTTCCTTGCCCCCGGCTGGCCCACCACCCGCCTCCCACTTGGCCCTGCGCTAGATCAGGGAGGTCCAACAGAGGCAGGAGGCGGCAGGTGGGGCCCCGAGCTGACGACTGTAGAAGCAGGGGTCAGTTACACTGGTCTCTCTACCTCTGTGCCTGTTAGAACCTTTCCATAATAAAACTATCTTTGAAAGGGGAGACTCCAGCCGACCCCCCAGCGTGCGCGTGTGGGGCCGAGCAGGGCCACAATGGCCCGGGGCCAGCTGTGGCTGAGCTCTCCCTCGGCAGACACTCACTTCGGGTCTAGAAGGGTGCAAAGGGTGTGCGACGTGCTGGGGCCCCCACACCCAGGTCCACGGGGGGCCGGGAGCCCCTCACCCTTCCCACGCAGGATCCTGCCTCAGGCCTGGGGCCCGGGCACGGCTCCTGCCCTTCTCCAAATCCCCAGCACGTTCAGGGCTTTAGTATTCACACATCAGACCTCCCTTGATCAGAGAACAGACGCACTCTGCTGGGCAGGCCTCCTCTGCGCCGCTGCCCGGTGTGGGGGCTTGACTGTGGGGACAGCTCCTGCCCTTCTGACCCGATGCTGAGCCCGGGGGGGCGGGTAGGGGCTGCTGGGGGCAGCGACTTGGCTGCCCTCCGGCCTGGGCCCAGAACCTGGTGCGGAAGCCTCTTCAGTACTGTGTCCCGTTTCTGCGTACAACCTCTCTCTGAGACACGAGGAGAGGTCAGTCCGCCTCTGCCCGTCGTCCTGTTTTTTGTTTTCTTTTGTTTCCGAAAGAAAAAGGAAAAGCTTTCCTGAGAGAAAATACACCACACATTCCAGAGTGTATGGTTTCCGGGCCACTCAGCCAGCCCCCCAGCCGCGAACACAGACCCCTCAGGAGGCACACACGTCCTACCTCAGGGAGGAAGCGCAGTCGCTCGCATTGGGTCTGAGAGCTAAGAAGAGGGGCAGGGGGAAGGAGTGTCTGGGAATCCCACCTTCCACTCCTCCCTTCCTTCCCAGCCTGTTCTAGTAGAATCTGGTTGCCCCAGGGTGCAGAATTCCTGGTTGGAGCCATGGATAGTAGCACAAGCAATAGGGCAAGAATTCAACCAGCGATGAGACAGGTGGCCGAGCCCCAGCCATCTTAATCCTTAGATGAACGATTTGTCCCTCAGTCACAAGATGTCAGGAGGTGGACAAGCTCTAAAGGCCCACGTTGCCCTGTTTAATGCCGGGGGCAGTGCTGATGGGTCCGCCGAGCTTTATTCAATCTTCCTCTTCATCTTGACATTCCTGTAAGTTTAGGAGACATGGTGTCTAAATGATTAGGAAGACCCCCAAGAGGTCTCAGTCACTTGCAGGCTTTTGTAAATTAAGTCAAGGAATCTGAAAAACAGGCTGAATGTTGAAGGAATAAATACAGGAGTGGAGAGAAGCTGTTAATTCATGTGCCCGGAATCTCTCAAATCCAAATCAGCGACAGTGGCTATGAACTTCCTCATCATGTTAATATGGAGAAAGCATGTGCTTCTTGAGGCCATGTTAGCCTTTCAGCATTTTGGGGGATCCTGACGAACGTGAGTGTGTCTTTCTTCATCCAGCTCCAGTGGCTGTTGGATAACTACGAAACCGCAGAAGGCGTGAGTCTCCCCAGAAGCTCTCTCTACAACCATTACCTTCGGCACTGCCAGGAGCACAAGCTGGACCCTGTGAATGCCGCCTCCTTTGGGAAGCTGATCCGCTCCGTGTTCATGGGCCTGCGGACGCGGCGGCTGGGCACCAGGTGGGTACATGGGGGTGCCCGGTAGCCCCACGCCCACCTGTCCTCCTGCGTCCTCTATACAGATATTGAGCTTTTGGAGAACGTGGTCTTTCTCCTTCTGCCTGCATGCCTCTGGGTGAACTTGGAGTTGTTCTGAATTGGCGGCAGCACGGGCCTGACCAGCCCGAGGCGTTGGCCATGGGCCATCTCTCTCCTGATGACAAGAACAAAGGCTTTGCTTCAGCACTCAGTGCTTCTTTAAAATTTTCCATAACAACAGGTTTTCTTAAAAAGCAGCCTCTGGATTATCAAGTAGAGTTGGATTTATGATTTCTTGGTGCTTTCTGCTCTGCCTGGACCAGTCCACCACAGCAGCTCGCCCTTGGCCTGCAGCAGCCAGGGACTGCCATATGCTGCAGACTTACCCAGGCAGGAAACGAACACTCCTCCCACTAGAAAACAGCAGCCATACTCTATTCAAAGTGGGGGGCCTAGAGCACACAGAAGGGGCCAAGAGAATGTTCTCTGCCACCCTCTGATCCTTTACAGAGAACATCCTTACAGAGCATCAATGGATAGAGGAGGGAAGGACGGGGGAGAAGGAGAGGAAGCCCCTGGTCTCTGGGGACACAGCCACCACTGCCTTTGGGGCCTCTCCAGACAGCTCATGCATGGCCTCCACCGTCAGAGTGTCCTGGATGCTGGCCTCAGGATTGGGGCTTTTCTCCCCCCTGCTTTCCAACTCCTCCTGGCACCAGCCAAGCTGCTACCTCATCCAGAAAGGACCCGTGCTCCGCCCACTTGTCCCTATTGCCAGACGCATGTCTATCCTTCACTGCTTCTCTCCTGAGGAGCCCTTCTGGCCTGTTTTCTTAACCAAATTGTCTAAAGCCCTCTGATCATTCATTTCTCACATAATAAGCTACGATAGTGTTTCCCAAAGTGTTACCATTTCCTAGATCATGTTGTCAGATGACTAGGGGTCGGGGGTGAGGATGGTGATGCTGATGGTGGTGATGGTGATGATGGTGA